TATGAACGCTGCCTTAGGAACGTACCAGTTAGATCGCTGGCTAAGGCCCGCCGGCGCTCCTCCTTCTGTGATGCGGCGGGAACTGCTGCTGCTTCTGTGTCTTGACAAGGCCGGCGCTGCTTGATTGCGCTGCTTTTAGTTCTCGGCTGATGCAGAACAATCCTTCGAACAGTATGGTTGGTCAACGATTCGTAATCTAGCACGCGGAATATCCGCGTCAGCCCGGCGAAGCCGGGCCATGTCACAGAGATGGAGCGCTCGGCGACAGCCGGGCGATCCGACTGGTAATAATGGCCAGAGGGTGGAACGGCATCGCTGCAAAAGACCAAAAGAAATGACTCTAACGGACGAGAACTCGTTGAATGTATTTCGGGTTTTCCCAGCAAGACATCAAAGCCAAGCTATCGAGGCGCTCATTTCTATTGCTTTCAAATAGGGCTTTCGGTTTTGTTTTCGTGTCTCGCACTAGATCTATCATCTCCGCTTCTTTTCACTGAATATATAGCTTTAGAAAGCGAGCCATGGGAATCATTTTCCTTCTCATCATTACTTTTCAGATGCCTTTCATACAAGATATTGCACTTCGTGATGACGACTACTACAAAGAAAATCAAATCAAAATTCTGAGAGAGATTCATGTAAGAGCGCAATTACCTCACATTGCAATTATTGGAAAAATGTAAAATGGTCGCCATAGTTCGGGAGTAAGGATTGAATTCGAAGTACCGCCTTTCGTGGCGCTGTTGAATACACTCCCTGCGATCAAATATTGATACGGGTTTCAGGTCTTCATTATGAACCATCAGTCCATAAGTAACTCCACAGTAGAGAAAGGAGCCAAAAAAAAGAAATATGGGAACACCCGGAACAGAGACACTCCTTAGCAGTGGGGCTGGCGCCTTGGATTGGACGAGTATGTCGAACAAGCCCAATCAGCAGGATTCGACGTGCAAGCGATTCCCGGAAAAAGCATAGGAAATCGCCCTACGACACTCCAAGGCAACGCTATGTACTCGCGCAACTCCGCTTGTAAGACTCTGCCTTGCAGGGTGAAAGTAATCCTGGTGCAATGAATGCGTTGATCACGCGTCTCTAGCTACTTTATCTCGTCGTTTCAAATGTAGAAAGTGGTAGATTCTCTGCGGACAACGATGCCAAATGCAAAAAGGCATCTCGCGGACCACCTGATCGCGGAAAATGTCTTCGAGTGAATGGGAAGGAAAATGTGATCCTAGTGAAAATACAGACAACAGATGCACAAAATAATTTAATTTACATGCTCGGGAGCTGTTCAGAGATTTTTTGGCAGCTGTAGTTAATGATGCGCTAGTATCAGTTTAGAACAGGGATTTTCTCTATGTTAGGCTCGACAGAACCGTAGCCGCAAAAAAAAGTTTTCTCCCGTTCAAGGGTGCGCGGCATCAAAGCTGATGATTTGCAATGTTTGGTGCTCTTGATCACTCTGCGTGACAGTGACGCTGTACTTGAGCGTCTTCACACTAATATACCAGGTTGTCCCTAAAATCTTGCACGAATCTTGTCAATTCCAAGATTTTCTGTTCCAGCCAAGTGTTCAAAAACCCTGACCATGAATTATGGTTTACTACTGTTCGAAGGCTAGTGCAAGTGAGACGGTCTGAAAGGATGGCGCTGTAGTGGTGCCACACACCCCTACTAGCAAGACCGCACAGCTGCCTAATTAAAGGCAGAATAAGCTCAGGAAATCGGTTTCATTCTAAGTGTTTAGTCAATCTAGATAGATGCCTGCTTAATGCATTGGATTGTTGCGGGTGCTACTGCGAGAATTTGGAATAGGTACTTGTTTACGGCCACAGCAACACCATTACTCTATTGAGTGGAATGCCATCAAACTGAGGTCTCGATGGACATCGAAAATGTTGGCCAACGACATCCGATCAGTACCTCTATCTTCCCGCAGAAGGCCGTCATTCTTGTGGTCGGAGCTGGAATCGCTATAGGAACAACACGCAACACGCCTAATGGCAGCTGCGCAACTAACAAGGGAGGTCACTCAGGTCGTGGCGCGCTTTTTGGAAATGGTTTGTTGCTTGTTGTAGGGGTCCATACAAGGATCACAAAAATGGGTTTCATTTTTGCTATGCGTTTCTGGGAAGGTCAATAACGGAGTGAAAGAATTACAAGAAAGGGCGATTTTGAGCATCTTGATGGGCTCCGTTCTGATTGTAACTTCGAGCATGCATAGCTTATGAGCTGCTCGTTAATAAAGCATCAAAAATAGAACAAAATAAAGTCTAAATATAACCGTTGCGCAGTAACACACTTGGCATGCACCGACAAGACAGTGATGTTTTTGTCAGCGGTCCCCTTATGCTCCCTGTCAGCGGAACATATGGTGCAGCGGTGGCCAAGTGTGTTACTGCATGATACTCACATTTCTACTTTATTTTCTACTATTTTTGATACTTTATTAACGAGTACCTCATGAACTGTGCATGCTCGATGTTACAATCAGAACGGACCCCATTAAGATAGTTGAAATAACCCTTTCTTGTAATTCTTTTCACTCCGTTTAAAGCATACCAGAAACGTAGCAGAAATGAAACCTATTTTGTGATCCTTGTATGGACCCCTACAACATGCAATAAACCATTTAAAAAGCGCGTTACGTCCTGAACGACCTCCATTGTTAGAACCAGCCTGACCGAGGCCGGCGAATGCCTGCAGCAAGGCGGTATAAGCGTCCTAAACGAGCCAGTGTTGCTATTTTAGATGGCACTCAGCTTCACATTGCAGAAGCATCGCCACAACGTAGAGGGACCGGACTGGAACAAGAGGGGTACCATCAGCCCTCTGCTCTTGTCATCGTCTGATAGGGAAAAAACTGAGTAACAGCAACCACCTTTTGCAAACATTAGATCTCATTCGGCCACTTCCAGTCCGTCACTGCTCACCAAACGACCATATATCAGTTACTTCACCAACGGTTATACTTTGGACCACATTTTCATGTTAGAGGAACTAAACACACAATACTATCAAAAATTAGACAAGAAGGAAAAATCAGTATTTCAGATTCCAGTGGGTTGGATTAGGGCCTGTGTGGGTCCTCTCTGGTTTCCAAATATCAGGTCATCTCATTCAAACACGTCAAGACATATAGGGGAATGGAAGGGAAGCGAAAGCGTCAAGGGGACGGACTCCTATATTGCTGCCACTACCACAATGAGCTACGTATCGTAAACTTGGCAAACATAGCCACGAAGAAAAACTCGAGGAAGTGAAAAAGCCACCTGGTTGAAGTCAGCGTTGGATTATCAAATTAAGCCGCATCATAGGGAGAAAGTGTGCTGATCAAAACGAATAGGCAGCATTCTCTCAGAAAGGAAATACGACCCTTCACTCATAACAGCGAGCAAAGAGGCCCCTCCCCTTTACAACATCCCAAAAACAAGAGAACTCAACTGCCAAAAAAATTTTTCTTGGCCAAAGCACGACCCCCCCCCTCTCCTAGCGACCAAATATGTCCCCCCTCCTGTTGGGAAATCCCCAACAATGATGTGCCCTACTAGAAGTGCAAGTAGGGAAGAACGAAAAATTGCTGAAGAGGGCTCCAGACTGTTCATCCTGCCCAAAAAAAGCGGGTGGATCAAATCAAGCGTTGAATAATCGCATAGACGGGACAGCTGTTGAGATTCTTCAGAGTCTGACATTTTTTCTGCAATCGTTGGCCGATTCGATGCAGCAGCAATGTTCTCCGCCTAAAGCATCATTCACTGTGTAGAAAAGCACACCAACCCTAGGTGAAATATGGGTGGTTCTGCACCTCGAGCTGGAACACACAAGCGCCGGCTTCAAATGGATGATTGTGAAGCAGCCCGAACTCCCTCATGAGTAATACGTGGGCTCAAACGGATGACCATCATAGCGATGGATTCCTGGCTGTTCAGCGGCCCCACTTGAAAAGAAAAAAGAAGCAAAAACGTCCATGTCGTCGCAGGTATACTCGAGATCCCTGAGATCGGGTAGGCGTGGCCGCATGTTTCAACTTACCTCAAGGCGTCTACGCTTCTGATGCGATATTTTCATCTCGACACAATCGTTGTCGTGTCTCTGTCCAACACAGAACAAGATGACAGTTGTCCCAGACTGGAATATTCCACTAGTAACCAGTTCCTTACAGTGTTCGAATGCTCCGCCTACCCGATCTCAGGCATTTCGAATATATACATACTAGCCGGCTTCGCCGGCTGACGCCGGCGCGCCTCTTTCTGAGATACAGCACGGCTTCGCCGGGCAGGCGCGGCTCCACCGCGCTTACCTTTTTCCACACATTTCAGTACCTACCTAGTATCCGGCTTTTCTTTCATCTGAACGGATGATCAACATTATTTCACCAATAGCACCATACCTGCTATTTTCAACACATTTACGGAGCATGAAATGGTGGAAAGGAGCGTTGATCAAGTGGAGAGATGAGAGGAAAGCCGAGTATTGGTCCAGCATTTGACCTACGAATGCAGTAGGCGCGACGGAGCCACGCCCGAAAGGCCGGGCTGTATCACAGAGGAGGTCTGGAGGGCCTGGTGTGCTCTGGAACCGCTTGAGGAATTTCTAACACTGGCTCCACTTTCCTCAGCTTTCCGCCCACAACGTATGCCCCGCGCTTCTCAACTAATAACCCCTCGCTGATCTTAAACTACATTTTCCCGGTGTCTGGAGTGCTCTGGAACCGTTTTGCGAATTTTTTAAATTTGGCTCCACCCACCTCGGGGCACGCCCCGCCCACAACGTATGCCTCGCGCTTCTCAACTAATAACCCCTCGCTGATCTTAAACTACATTTTCCCGGTGTCTGGAGTGCTCTGGAACCGTTTTGCGAATTTTTTAAATTTGGCTCCACCCACCTCGGGGCACGCCCCGCCCACAACGTATGCCCCGCGCTTCTCAACTAATAACCCCTCGCTGATCTTAAACTACTTTTTCCCGGTGTCTGGAGTGCTCTGGAACCGTTTTGCGAATTTTTTAAATTTGGCTCCACCCACCTCGGTGCAGGCTCCGCCCACAACGGGAGTGCCTCGTA